CTTCAAACCGAAATACAGCCATGCAAACACAACTGCTTCACGGTAGAAACACGAATGGGACAGAGGTACCCAAGCAAACGACTTTTGTACAAAGTCTCCCTCTGGTGAGAGGGGGACTAATGCACCCCAGAAGTCATAATTCTTTACTATATTGGCTACAATCCAAATTTGCCAACGTACATTGTATAGTTCACGTTTCCGTTTGACATTTCAGCAGAGATCACGTCTTATCTCGAAATTTTAATTTTTTTTTGCCGTAAAACTAGCAAACTCGGGAACAATATCATAACCGTGCACTCTCGGGTACAAGACTGCTCGAATCTTGAATAAGTTACAATGTTTACAAACTTTACTTGTACAAGTCTGATTTCATGAAGTTTCCCGCCGCATAGTTTCTTCGCTGACATTTTAATATGACGGTGTCTTGACGTCGTAAACTGCTCACGATCGATAGAATAAAGAAATCATACAGATGTAATTTTCAATAGTATTGTTTCTTTTTGTTTGTTTCCTTCACTTGTATTTTTTTTATACCACTGAGGTGGCAAACAAGCATATGGCCCACCTGGTGGTAAGTGGTTACCGTAGCCAATGAACGCCCTGCAATACTAGAGGTATTACGCGCGCGCTGCCGACCCTGAAAAAACCTCTTTACCCTCCTTTTGAAGAACCCCATGCTGTAGTCTCTTGGGAAAACCTCTCTATCTAAATAAATATAACTGATTTTGCCATAATTAAGATAGTTTTTTTGTCCACTGTCTGTTGCTTGTTTAATAGTATATCTATTGCATCTAGAGATACTTCTAGTCATACATATAAAATCTATAAATCCCTTCATTGCACCTTAGTATATACTGCATTCTCATACCAAAATTACAAGTACCAATCATTATCACTGTTGTCATTTACCAGAGGGAGACTTTGTACAAAAGTCGATTGCTTGAGTACCTCTGTCCCATTCTTGTTTGAAGGGTGGGATATGGCGTGAATTTACTGGGTACAGAGGAATAACACCTGAGTCCTCAGGAATGGCAACGCATGGGGAGTATCATGGACGAAACAGTATACTCTGTTATGTCCATGGTACTGCTCATGTCTATAGGCGACGGTTACTACTTTCCATTAGGCGGCCGTCAGCTTGTTTGCCATATCTAAGTTGTATAAAAAAAAATCTGATCAGACTTATAAACTGTGCTGAGAAATGGTAGCAAAAAAAAAATGTAAAAATAAAATTACATATGTTTGTTATTTCACATAAGTAAGTACAAAATACTTAATTCGGATTATTTTCGCGTCGTTTGTTTCCCGAGTGCTTAATATTATATTTTAATACGGAGAACGAGGGAAAACATTCGCGTAATAAAATTTTTCAACACGTTTTAACCCTGTCTTTTATAAGTCCCTAATGTTGCTCAGTTCAGCTGATTTGTTAGTTTTTCATAGTAGCAATCGGTTTACAATCGCCTCGCCTGTAAAGCGAGCGTCATTTACGCGCGCAGTATACTCGTACACACAAAGAGAGAAAAAGCTTCCACGAACATTTTTTTTTTCGAAGGAATTGTCGCAAAACTGAACAAAGGACTGGATACTGGAGAGATAAAAGTATTAGGAGCTTGTAAAACTTGCTTTTTCATAATTCCCACATTTCCCATTTTGCTTTTACTTCTTTTATCTTCTTTTAGACAAAAATAAAAATATATAACGTACGAACACGGAAAGATATTGTGTTGTAAAAATACATTATCATTTTTAAAATAATTTATTCTGTCATCACAAAACAATGTTTTAGGTTATTTTCATTTACAAATGAATATTACAAAGAGAATTAAAGTCGAATTCGCGGTATTGTAACGAGAAAGTCAACAGCATATCGGCTATGCTCGGTGCAGAGTTCCGCTTGTTGTTACTACAAATTATAAGATCAAAGGAACTTGTAAATGCTGAGCTAACAGTTATCTAATTTTTTTTTATTTTAATTCCATTTAACGAACAGTAAATGTGTACGGTATGTATTTATAATTTCAATACATTAAATATTGAGATATAACACCAGAGGGAGACTTTATACAAAAGTCGATTGCTTAGGTACCTCTGTCGCATTCGTGTTTCAACCGTGAAGCAGTTGTGTTTGCATGGCTGTGTTTCGGTTTGAAGGGTGGGATATGGCGTGAATTTACAGGGTACAGAGGAATAACACTTTAGTCCTTAGGAATGGCAACGCATGGGGGGTATTATGGGCGAAACAGTACACTCTGTTATGTCCATGGTACTGCTCATGTCTATAGGCGACGGTTTCCACTTTCCATCAGGTGGGCCGTCAGCTTGTTTGCTATTCTAATTTGTATAAAAAAGAAATATAACGTCATAGACCATCATATATAATTATGATGGAAGAATTTTCGCCGAAAAGTGTTGTTTTCTGACGTTTCCGAGGGCAGTCACCTGATACGACACATTACACGTCGCCTACACGACGTGTGGGGAATATTTTGTAACTTTTATACTCTTATACGTATTTTAGGGTATCGAGTGGAAAAAATGGGTCAACTTTTAGTCAGCCAAACGAAAAATTGGATGAGACTTTTTTTTTTAATCAAAACTATCGCATCTTTTATTCAGTGTTGCAAGTGATTAAATTAAATCGATTTATTAAATTACAATTGGGAATCATTTGTATGATATAATACAAATATATAAACAGATACTTGAATGTTCGAGCTATTCAGACAGACCAGCTCTGCAGTTAGAAACAGATTAATTCGAAATTTGTCAAATTAACCGAGTAAGACAGGACTGTATAATGCATTTACTGTCAGGGATATAACTTGCAATTTGAATTTGGAATTATGAAGTTTGACGGGTTAAGCTTTGAGTAATATAATACGTGCTGGCTTGCTAAGTGCAACTCTGAGGAAATATTAATCTTAATTCCAAATGCTTTTCATTTTAATGTGGTGTACCATTTTAAGTTCAACAAAATTCAACATTTTTATGATAATTTAAACTTAATATAAATTCATTCGCTTCTTTAATATTTTATTTTACTGCGTGCATGCACGTGTGTGTGTGTGTGTGCGTGTGCGTGTGCGTGTGCGTGTGCGTGTGCGTGTGCGTGGGTGTTTGCGTGGCCGTGTGCGTGTGTGTGTGCGTGTGTGTTGTGCGTGTGTATGTGCGTGTGTGTATGTATGTGTGTTTGTGCCTTTTCGCGTGTACATAAGTCTTGTCATGTCTTAAATAAATATATAATATTTAAAGAAAAGTTTTACAAGCCGAATAAACAAGTAAATTGATGCCTTATTGCTATCTATTGTATATTGCGAAGGTGGGTATGCGACAAGTGAACACAGAGGTCGGTTACACACTGGTTTAATTGACAAGGTCAAATGACTTATAAAGGTGGACGTAGCCATCCGTACATACATAATACTACCCACATATACAACACTATCATAATAATAATAGCTATAACTAGCAGACAACCTGAGGATAGATATAAGAGTACATGTCTGTGTGTTTATGTTTTTGTCATAAGTTTTATTTTTTGTCTTCCCACGAAGTGACACAAAAACCTTCGGAACATCTAATGATAAATGGATACGATAACTTATGGACGGTTGCAAGACTAGTAGTTCCTCGAACGCGTCATCATCCTAAAAACCATTATTACTCCCATTTTGAAGAGCTAAATATTTTTTGCGCTCGGAAAAATCTCAGCGGAAAGCTGTCTTTGTCTGTTGTTGTCTGGAAGAGATTGCTTACCGATAAGGCCGCCTTTTGTATCATTTCTCATTACAATCAAATGTATTTACTATTTTATAAATGGTACGATAAAGTGTAAAAGAGAAAAATAAAATAAAAACTAATTTTATGAACTGAGTGCTCGCATTAGAGCAATATGGGGCTTATAAAATCAAAGACAGCTAAATCCAAGTCTGTCAAATGTTCAAGGAAACTAGAAGAACTAACATTTTGTCAAGAATATGGAATGCTATTCTATACTTTAAATAATAATAATAAACTCTTTATTGCGCACAGTAGAGATGTATACAAGGAGTATTTATACAGAATGTGCATATACAAAAGGCGGCCTTATCGCTAAAAGCAATCTCTTACAGACAATCCGGAAGCCTTAAACCAGATTGAAGAAAATTAAAATATCAGTAATAATTTAAATTTTAATTAATAGAAGTTTTAATTAAGAGAAATATTTGAGTGCAGTGTGAAAATGAAATCTATTTTAAGGCGTTTAGCTGCCTTTGATTATTATAGGCCTCATACGTATTATGTTTTAATATCTTGACATGTGACCACACTGTACTAAGTGAATATAAAGACAGTATAATTTATGTATGTGATCAACCGAAAAGAGGACATTCCTTCCTCGACATTCGCCGCACTATGCCGGCTCACTAAGTGCTTTTTCACGTTACGCTTCAAGGATCCGAGTATATTGAATGAAGGAAACACGTCACATATCAACATATAAAATTATATTACTTGCATAATTTTATGCAAATATATTTTCAATGCCAAAAAAAAAACAACTGTTAACGTGAAAACACACATCGAGGAAAAAAAAAGAAATGTGACAGACAGATTAGATTGAAAATATTTGAAATTAGAACATAGAATTGTGTGTTAAAAATAGATTTTTTTATGGAACTTAGAATAGTAAACAAGCTAACGGCCCACCTGATGGAAAGTAGTAATCGTCGCCTATAGACACGAGCAGTACCATGGACATAACAGAGTATACTGTATCGCTCATGATACCCCCATGCGTTGCCATTCCTGAGGACTCAGGTATTATTCCTCTGTACCCAGTAAATTCACGCCATATTCCACCCTTCGAATCGAAACACAACTGCTTTACGGTTGAAACACGAATGGGACAAATGTACCCAAACAATCGACTTTTGTACAAAGTCTCCCTCTGGTAAACAGCTGAAATAATAATAATAAAAATATATTTTAAAGACGGTGATGTTTTTGCTGCGCAGGTGGCGATGGTCAGGAGCACGGGCCGGTGTTCCTGATGGAGCCGCCTCCGCGGCTAGTGTTCTCGAACAGCACGGGGGCGCGCGTGTCGTGCGCCGCGCATGGCTTCCCGCCACCCCAGCTCGCCTGGCAGCAGCCCGACGGGGCCCAGCTCGACGACGTCCCTGGACTCAGGTCAGTTTTACAATAGTTCACATAAGTTTGATTCGGGTTTTTTTCACCTGATTGGAAGTCCATAAATATTATGCTAAATCATATAGGTAAATCTAGATGAAACTTCGAAAGCCAAGAAATAATTACCAGCCGTTCATTCCGAACGCTGTCTTTCATGTCTGTGATGATACCACAAGCGTCTATAGGTCGCGCTTAGCAGGCCGAATCACGCATCAGGCTTGTGCTCGTGTCACAGTCGCTCATTATTAAGGATCACGAATTGATTCCGAAACCAGTCAAGCTTTTTCAATCTATCTATATCAATACGTAAACCGGTATTTATTAAATTAAAATATAATTTGTGCTTCGGAATTTTTTACAATACAGCTATTGATTGACGCATAGTTTCTCATTTGATCTAAAGACAGTAAATAACATTCTATATTATACAGATATGAAGATATATTTGCTTTATCTGGACATCTCATCTCAAAATTTAAGTGCCAAAAAACAGTCTTTGTTTATTATTATTTAAAGACGGGCTTTTTCAGATAGACAAACCTGTGACACTGCGACTTCCATGATCATTTGTGCTCACCCATTATTAAAGTTCGCTGCTAATACCTACCAATGATAGGAATTTTAAGATGTCTTTTGTAGCGATGTTTTTATCTCCTCAGGGTACAGGGTGTGTTTTTCAAAGGAGATATATCGTTTATGTATGAGTGGGCTACAGCCACACATTCAGTGCTGCGACGTTTCTGCCTCACTGTGACAAGATCTGCAATAGTCAGTCAATAGTTAGCTAGCATATTGTTTTTTTTTTCAGGCCGAAAGTAGTAGATATCGTTCTAGATCATATACGAGTATGGTAAGTTGGTTAATAGTTGGCCGACAATTTGTTTTTTTTTTTTATCTGACCAGGTCAATAGATAACATCTTAGACGCATCTTGTGTCGTATATGCCTTATTGGCATATGTCCAGTTAGGGCACCCATAGTATGCCCATATACCCATATATAGCGGTAGTCACTTACTATTAGGTGAGCCGCATGCTCGTGTGCTCCCTGTGTTGTAGAAAAAACTGCATGGTGTCACTGATTATGGAAATAATATAAAGTACACAATTTGCAGTTTTTAAGCGATATTGAAAAATGAATTAATTTAATAAGCTTGTAGGTATTTTTTCTGAAAACGTTTTAATAGAATAGAATTAAATTATTCTTTACTCAAACAAAATAGAATAGAATTAAATTATTCTTTACAGCCACACATTCAGTGCTGCGACGTTTCTGCCTCACTGTGACAAGATCTGCAATAGTCAGTCAATAGTTAGCTAGCATATTGTTTTTTTTTTCAGGCCGAAAGTAGTAGATATCGTTCTAGATCATATACGAGTATGGTAAGTTGGTTAATAGTTGGCCGACAATTTGTTTTTTTTTTTTATCTGACCAGGTCAATAGATAACATCTTAGACCATATAGATATGTCCTGATAAAACTTTCATTGGCAAAAAATGGCCAGCCAACTAATAGGTGGCTAACGCGTCGTTTTTTTAAATCTGAAAGTATGGATAATATAAGTATATAAAAAAATGGTTAGTTTTTCACTTATTTTAACGATAACTTTTTAACTTTTTTAAAAGTTAAACAGACTTTAAAAAAAATAAAGATGAAACAAGAACCAAAAAACGAAAAGAAAACTAAATTAAACTTTTAATGTAAAGGATTTCAAATTTGTTTTATGTTATTGTTAATTTGATAGTTTTTTAAATATTTTTTTTATACGCACATATATTGATTGATATATAAAATTTGAGAGCTTTTCTCGATTTCCCTTGGATCCCATCACCAGATCCTTAATTCGTGACAATGGAACTACTTCAAGAGTATAAAAAAAAATCAGTCTCCAATTGACGGCGAAATCGCTACGTAATACGTAAAAAAACATGTACAATGGAACATAGAATCTTCTCTTGTTTTTGAAGTCAGTAAAAAATAAATACAAATAATTTATTCCTTTCGAAGAGTGTAATATCGATAAAATAATATTAGGTCTCGAAATATATTCTCGGAGGTACTTTATTTACGTTAGTCGGTCACGTCTAAACGACTAAAGGGATTTGAATATTTCGTATCTAGATTAAAATATACACTATAATCGCGTCGTGTTGTCACTGTAAACTTTAATATCGTCATAGCCGTTGAATACTGACGGATCTTTTTTTTTTTAATCTACGTTCAATTTGGTATTTTTGTTTTTTAACATGTCAATCCCATAAAATCTAATTTCAAATTCTTCAAAAGGGGGGTAAAGAGGTTTCTTCAGGGTCGGCAACGCGCGCGTAATGCCTCTGGTATTGCAGGCGTTCATAGGCTACGGTAACCGCTTACCATCAGGTGGGCTGTATGCTTGTTTTCCACCTCAGTGGTATAAAAAAAAATCTAAACAAGTTATCTACTATTATAATTATGACTAAACAATACTACTTACTAATTCATTTAAGCACAAAGCAATTTTGTTAGTAGGAGCATGCATTATGCTCTGTACAATACCCACATCAAATTTATGTTATTAATATTAAATGTTTTAAAAAATGTTTCCCTTTCCCTTCGGTTGCTATCACATTCCATAAATAGGTGCTGGACATCTTCAACTTTTCCACAGACAATGCAATTTGGTGAATTTTCTTTTTTCATCAAATATGCAAACTTTCTTGATGGATAGTGACCAGATCTGATTTTTAAAATTAACTTAATTTTATTTCTATTTAATTTACTATCTAAAAACCAAGGTATCAGAAAAAACTGACGGATCTATATAGGTAATATTTGATAGATCCGTCAGTATTCTGCCACTGTGACGATATGTCAATAATAATAACGACGATATGCCATATTTGCTCTGAGGGGGGGCACAGATGTGGCATAGTGTAGGTAGGTGTTTATATCTCTTCTTACATTACTATTTATAACAAATATAGTGTTACGTATGACATAATTATCATGTATTCCTTCAAGAAAAGAGCATATTCCTTTCTAAAAGGCCGGCAGCACTCCTACTTTGCTTTTGGTGTTATGAGTGATAATAGGCGGCGGTAGTCACTTATCTTATTTTTTCGCATATGGGGTCAGCTAAGCCGATGCATGTCAACCCATACGGATCTTACAGTCTGCACAAGATAGATGCATCTTGTGTCGTATATGCCTTATTGGCATATGTCCAGTTAGGGCACCCATAGTATGCCCATATACCCATATATAGCGGTAGTCACTTACTATTAGGTGAGCAGCATGCTCGTTTGCTCCCTGTGTTGTAGAAAAAACTGCATAGTGTCACTGATTATGGAAATAATATAAAGTACACAATTTGCAGTTTTTAAGCGATATTGAAAAATGAATTAATTTCTCAATAAGCTTGTAGGTATTTTTTCTGAAAACGTTTTAATAGAATAGAATTAAATTATTCTTTACTCAAATAGATTTGAACGTATTTCTTTTTATAATTGAAATATATTTTTAGCGCATTGTTTTTTTTTTTTTTTATTTTTGCATTTGTCGACTGTTATTTTACATTTACTTTTATATCCAAATATTTATTTTTTTAAATCTAATGTATTAACTCTGTTTATCTACTTCTTAACTAAAATTGCATTCCGAATAAACGGTAAAATCATAAAAAAATACTATTAAGTATATTTTCATAAACATCTTTCTTTCCTTTCTTTTTTTTCATCCTTTCATTCTTTTTCTCTTTCACTCTCTACGAAATTTTTCGTCGTTTATTAGTCAGTGTTAGTGCATTTTAATTATTTTAAATAAATCATAAATTATTAGTCAGTATTAATTTTAAAAGTAAATCAATCTCTCTAACTGCAATGGGTTGGCTAGAACAGATCTCTTTTAGACACAAGCCCACCTTTGCTAACAAGTTGTTAAAGTAATCGCTATATCTTTTGTTCAAGGGCAATAAATAATTATATCTCTAGTAAAATTGTTATTTCCTTGCTGAATAAAACATGTCAATTTCGTGTTCTTAATTGTATCTAGTTCAGCGTGTGAAGATAGTAGTAACCTCCTTGCACATAACAATATTCAGTGTGCTTCTGGTTCGGTCACGCTTTGCTGCTGACATTTGCATCATCTATTTCAGTATGTACTCGTAGCTTCGCCATTTTTGTATAGTATTTGCTATGCAACATTATCAACAAATATTCTTTGTCACGCATCAACTGCAAAAATCTTGGCTGGATATTTTAGGACAATATCTACGGTATTTTATAATATTCTATTGTGACAAGCTACTTGTATTTGAGCATGTAACATGGTTTTGTTTGTTCCTTTAATAAATTTATAAGTTAATAGAGGCAAAATGGTCGAGAGATAGGCAGCAGCGTCTCTTTAAGTATCACCAAAGTTTAAACGCGGTTGCCAACCCGCCTGCCAAACATAGTAACTACTGTGCTAACCCCGTACGGGCAAACGCAGTGTAAGACGACCTCAAATGCATTGCAGGGAGAGTCAGTGGATGCAGGTGGTTCAGGAGCGTTCCTTATGGCCTCCTTTATAGGAGAGGCCTATATTCAGCAGTAGGAACACAATGGCTGAGATGATCATATTATTTAGTAGCAAATTTAATATATTAGTAAGATAAATATAGTAAGAATAGTGATTCCACCTTTCAGCGATCTATCATGAAATAAAATTTCGAAATTTTGGACTCAGTTTCATGTTTTTGTTCATATCAAAATCGGCCCAGTAAATGGACGTTAACATTTCATTTATCATAAATCCCATTCTAAAAGTCCAAATAAATGATATTTTAACATTTTTGATATTTGTAAACTATGTGTATTATGTAATTTTAACATTCCAATTTGTGTTTCGTTCGGCCCCGAAATTTCGGAAAACATTTCATGGTAAGCCCTCTGTTCTATTGTACTGTACACAGTAGGATTAAACGGACTTCTTTTCTCTGCTCAGTCTATTAAATATAGGACAGGGTGAAACGGACAAAACAGA